CCCCGCCGCCCGGCCGCGCCGTCCCGGCCCCAGCAGCCAGGGCAGCGCAGGCCCCCGGCCCGTAACGCCCGTCAGGTGGAATTTCACCCGTAAGGTGAAGTTCTCCCCCGCGGGAAGCGATGCAAGAGCCTTACTGCTTTCTGCGCAGCTGCCTTTATTAGGATAGGCATCCCACAAAAAGAAATCAATCAAAAAATAAGTGAAATAAAACAAAATAAATAGAAACAGAGGAAGCAGATGATAGCTCGTTGCAGAAAGCTGCTCTTTCACAAGACTTTTTGGAAATCCCCTCGAAACTTTTAAGAGAAACAGCTTTTTAAAGCGTGCATGCAACAGATGCTGGAGAGCATTTTCCAGTGGTATGGAAATTATCATGAGAACCTACCCAAAACCCGAACTTCTGTTTACAGTTTATTCCCAAATCAATGCTTTAAGTGACACACTGAAGGTAGAAAGAGCGTGATCCCACAAAGTGGTAAAAAGAAAAAAAAAAAAGTACTTCCAATTTACTTCCTCTTGCCTAAGAAAAAGTTTAAAATGCAGATGGACACACAACCGTAGCACATGCTGAGCTGTGCGGCGCTCGTAAGCCGCGCATTTGCAGGAGCCAGGGCACAGTTCCCCGTACTAATAATTCAAAAGTTCATACAAGTGCCTTAAAAACCAGCAGAAGCTTCAGCCTGCTGAGGCCCTTTACTTCCAAATGGGCTTAAACTGACCGTTAGGCTTCACTGGTCAGTAAAATTTTCCTATTTAAAAAAATAAACCAGCAAGAATAACAGCTGAAATTTAAAATAATGTGGCTACATTCTGACCATTCGCATCGAGCAAGCAAAAGAAATACCTGTAGCTCAAAACCCTATATAATGGATCATGGCAGCTATCACTAGTTTCCGTATTTCCCCAACTGTATACATTCATACTGTGCCACACTGGTGAGCTCTGTCAGAGTATGTCGTCATTGTCTCCATAGTAACTGTATTTCCAAAAAGAAAACAGCAAAGGGAAATAAAAAACAAGAGCGTAATGTGGAAAAACAGATACACATTTGTGCTATGGATTTTTGCGCCCCTCCTTTTTTTTTTAAGGAGAACACTCAACTATATCTTTATCATCCATAACACAGCTCCCCCACAACAGTGATACTAACATCACTGTATCCTACCTGTCACATTTTATGCTCAGAAAGCTAACGCTATGAGGCATACCATTAAAATGGGAAAATTGTACGGGTTGAGTAGAGATGTACAATTTATATTCAGCTCAAATCGTTCTGTCTGCTGAATGAGGCAGAGAGCTCAATATTATTATTTTCCCAACTTTTCTTTTAATTCCCTGTCTCAAAATTTACACTACTACCCAATATAGGAGTCTGCTTAAATTCTCTTAGAGAAAACAGTATTTACGAATCTCAGGCAGCAGAAACAAGTGCTTTTGCAGCTTTGAGATTGGCTGCCAGTTCTGTTTCCATAGAAATTAACATTCATTTGCTGAAAAATGGGGAGGTGCTTTAAAGAACCTTCTCCAGTTTGCAGGGATACATTTCTGGTGGAGTGAAAGGGCAAAACTAGCAGCACACATAAGATTTTGCTTAACAGGCAAACATCCTGACATGATTCTCTTAATATGCAACATCATTAGTAATGTTAACAAACCCCCAGGTTTTCATAGCAGCTAATTAATTCACATAATTCACATTAAAGAAGCGATGTCTGTTTTTACTACCCACTGCTGAGGGCATGGGAAGATAGGGGAAGGGGGGAAAAGTAATTAAAAAAATAATAATCATCATCATCGAAGGTCAGTTGGAGAGGCAAGTTAGCAGTGTGATATTATTTAAGCCTGTAAGTTGTCCCCATTAAGCAAAAGCACTAAGACTCTTGCCCAGTCCCCTTGATAGACACGGTGCCTCCTCATCTGCTGGCTTTTGAAACTCCTTGGTACATATCCTGCCTCAATTATTCCACCCATACTTGTTTCAATACGCTTTTCACCTCGTCCACCCTCCAAGAGGATATGTCAGTCTCTCATGGTAACTCGTTGCCCTCCTCCTCTTTACAGTTTCATCAAGGACCAGATTCAATAAAGGAAGGTGGTAACACAAGACTAAAGGGACTGCTCACGCTAGGTCCGCTCTAACACAGTCACAGGGATAACATGATACTAAATCTACCAGTGTTCATAAGACTGCAGGTACGGTATCTTTTCCCCTCCTCCCTGTATTTCTCCCACATACTTAAGCATACAAGCAAAATGTTTTTAAAACCTGTCATGTGTTTAATCATGTTAGTACAAACTTTTTTTTTAAATACATATTTGTTTTGATTGTTAAAATACTATGGAAAACATTCTTGTATTCAGATTGTTTAAAGCTGCGAGTTTTGAGGGTTTTTTTAGTTTGGGGTGGTTTGGTTTTTTCCCTCCTAAGTACATGCTGAATAAAGAGACTGAACAACTGACATTAGTATTGTTTGATAAAAGAATCCTAAGTCACATCTCTGGATTCTCAGAAACTAGGTCAACACAACAAAGATTTACTACCACAGCAGTGTCACTCAAGACTATGAAGCAGCTGACATCTTCCACAGTTGTATTAGCAAGCCCTTCTCTATCCATCACACACTGAAGAGAACCCTCACCAGCACAGTTAACTTATTTGGGAAAGTAACTCAATCTGGCAAGAAGCCATTCCTTTTGCTGGTGAAAAGGTCCACGACAGAGCTGCACCAGTCTAATTAGATTAAGGCCTGTTGAAGAGTTTTTTTGCCTGCTCCCGCCCTCTTTGAAAACATAACCCTAATTCCCCCCTACCTTCCCAAACCCTACTCCAAAATATCCAAAGCACTAAAAAAAGAAAATCCTCAACACTGTAACAGATGTATTTAGACATTAAAATTTGGCCTTTATCCAGAGATGTTTGATAAAGCTCCTAAAAGAAAAGTTGGTAACAAGGCTACAGGAATTCAACAGTAACTTTCAATCTGCACGCGCAAGCGGTAAATACGAATTGTCCTTCAGAGAATAACGAAGGACAAAGCCAAGATAAAGCACTAACAATGGAAGAATATCTTTTCAATAACATTAAAAAATTGTCTAGATGGATGCAACAGATAAACTAGGTTCAAGCAAAAATACTGAAATATAACGTATTAGCGGGATTCTGTCTCTATGATACCAAAACTTACATCATAGTAACTTTTGCATAGAAATCGCCGCCTACAAGATAAATGGTTTATACTCCCATAGATCAGCATTAGTATCTGCATTTTACAGATGAGATAAAAAACAGCTTAAAGAAAAATAACTTATTCAGTTCTCTTAAGATAGAGACAAAAAGCTCAGAAGTGCTATGCAAACTAGTCCAGCAATGTTGTATATCTATTTTCATATATATTTAAATTATTTCAATGCATTTATATTCCTTCATATCTTTCTCCATTCTCCTGAGAACTACCAACAGAAAAAAATATGTGTAAAATGCATCTTTGAACCTCTCAAACCTATGCAGCAGTATTAACTTTAAATGCAAAAGATAATGGTTTACCCTTCCACAACGAGTAAATTCACAATCTAACATAACATTTATGTAAAACATTTTTCCCCAAAATTAGTATGCTTTCTTTTGGTTTTTTTTAATATTAATCCTTACAAATCTATTTTTGTATTCTTTAAGTGTTCAAGAATAGCAATGTTTTATTTCAAAGCAGAATGCAGCATAGAAACTCTTACTACCTCAAAGAAAAGGTTGTAAAAACACATTCCTTTGAACCTACAGTCTCTTCTATTTTCACACTAAGAAAAGGGTGAGAATATTTAAAATGAAAAGGTACATTTGAGTACATTAACAAATCATATGCATACCTCAAAGTATTTCTACTCCTGCATAGTTATACTTTTTAGATTTAGCAAAGCTTCCTTTTCAGTCAGCATAGTTGCTTTGAAAGGAAAATGAACACTAGAGAACCCTCCCCTATAAAACAAGATCTACTGATTCCTTGCAGAAGACAGACAACGAGGCTTTCAAAAACAACTACATTAAAGCCACTGCCACACCACCTCCCTTGCTGTGCTGTTATGTAACAGTCTTCTCTTAAATTATAGTTTTAAGTAAGAAAGAATTATGGTTTTACGCTTTCATACTATAAAATACTATATCAAGAATGCAGTAGGAAGCAACAAGGATTCTCTGTGCAACAGGTTTTCTTTTCATGAAATACACCAAAAATAAAGAGCACAAACTCAGTACAGTGAACATAAAGTCTTAACTTCAACATTTAAGTGTCTCCGAATGCTGCAATCACTTATTTCTGTAATTTAAAACTCCATGTATTAAAATCATTATTCATCATTTTAACTGAGAAGAAATCAAACACATTCATCACTAAATTACCATTTTATTTTAGAAATACACTGTAAGATAGGATAAAGGTTCATTTGATTTTTTTCCCATGCATGAGCACGTTGCAGGATTCTTGTATCCTCTACTGAGCACACATGTAACTTGTTAAAGATTCATTGCTTGTTTCCATGCAGTTTCAACACCTTTTCCAACTGTAATCTGAAAATACTTTCAGTAACACAGTATAAGTTTGTTTTACCGTCTCAATGTTCTTAGTACTTACACGTTTCTAGTCATCTCACATTGATAACGCTAGCATTTAAATATTTATATTCATCTGAAGCTGATTATAAATATATCTTTCATACTCACCACTGATGCTACTTAAAATCATATTTCCAGAGTTTCTTACTTCATCAAATTTTGCAAAGATTGTTTGCAACCTGTAAAGAACAACAACAAACATATTTTCACATCTCTGAAATCCCCCAGGTTACTGGTAAAAACAGAAATCAGTTTATTATCACATATAAAGCAGTAATACAGAATATACAAGGGGTTAAGAGTATCTAAAAACAATTCCCAAAGGACTCCTTTTAAGTTAGTTGAGCATCTTCACACAAATGCACAGAAAACTAAGTCAACTTAGCAAAGAACAAAACTGAGCATCGTTATTAGCATGATTAAAAATAACTAAAATGCTAAAGTTCAGGTTCAGTAATAGTACTGTGTTTAGATGACTGTGATATTACCCTATTTATACACAACACTAAAAGGCAACAATTTGAACTATGGAATGTTCATGTGGGGAAAAAAATAGGGATTACTATTTAACTTGTTCTGAGACGATTACTAATTTTCCTCAAAATTTTTGTTCCTCAAAATTTCCTCAGTTTTGTTCTGAAAATACTTTTGTTGTAGTTAGCACTTCCACAGGAAAAAAAAAAGGAAATACTTTTTTCTAAACTTAAGGTACACTACACACTTTAGTTATGTTCAACACACACACCCCTAATTTAAACCCTCACAATAGAAAACATACTGCAAGCGCTTAGCTACATGTAAATAGAAAAAAAAAAAAAAAAACAAACCAACCCCTAAAAACTCTAAATTTGCAATCCAGTCCCATAAAGTAGAAAATGCTATTCAAGCAAGAAAGCTTGCAAGAATAAGCAAAACACTTAAAACAGCCATTTCTCACCACTTCTGCAGAAAACTCAATAAAAGCAGTGGCAGTATCTCACAGAAAAAATGTGACCCACTGGCTAGCAATGGGTTTGTAATGAGATAATACACTGTTCAACTGCAAACAATTGAGAATATTTTCTTACATTTCTCCAGAGACTTTTCTGCATTTTAGACTACTCAGAATACGGTAATATCTAACATGCACGTGAAGTTTTAGCTGCAAGACTAGCAGGACCAACTCCTGACCTTAAATGCAGAGAGAGAGTTATGAACTACAAATCTCATGATAGTCTGCAACTCTCCGAACAGGTACAGTTCAAGTACATTACACCAGTACTAGAGACCATATTACCCAATTCAAAATTTGCTACAAGAGCAAATACTGAAAGGCTCTGTTTACAAATGACAATCCAAACTATTTTAAGACAAACCAAGAAAAATGGGTAAGAACAGTGCTTGGATATGAAAATTCCCACAATACATAAAAGAGCAAAGTCAAGGACACACAAGGATTTCACTTCAACATTTCCTTATGCACACACCACTTGTACTCAACGATCCGTGTAGAGAGGCTGTGCACTCTCACTGTGCACAGTCTACCTTCTCCGACAGACTGCATACCCCTTTTATTCACTGGTACCTCATTTATCTAATAATGAAGAATGCGGTAAAATCATGAAACGCAGCCAGACAACAGTATAAAAAAACCTGAGCCTTTCCCCACACTTTCCAATGTTTTAGGACTCTCACAATGCATTATTTTTACTTTCCAAATACTTCAAAGCAATCTGCTACAGGGCAAATTTGTCCTGTACTTAACAGGCCCACAAGAAGAACTACCCGGATTTAGCTGAGAATTCCACAAAAAGGCCTACCCTACTGCAAGCATCTAAAAAAACAAAACCAAAAAACCCCTTCATCGTGTAAATCAATAACCCATAACACAAACCAGCGGTTTTACTATCTCAACTTATCTCAAAACTATATGTAGCTCAGTAGTATTTTGCATAATCTTCCCATAACGTACTTGTTAGTCTTCTCCCTGGAACCTATAATCCTCTCCCTTTTGCGCCACCATTGCATTTACAACCATTGCAGCCACAGCAAAATATCCGAAATGGCAGCAATTCACAAATGTCAGGCTACACTGCTTTAATATTAAACCTCCTTTAATGAAAAGGTCAATTTGTAAACCAAAAGCAATTTATACCAAAATGGTTTTTTTGCACTTAAGACTTGAAAAAGCAAAACTACAATTATTTTATGAAATGTTTTTCGGGTGCTAGCATTTACTAATGACACATGGAATCCCATTAACGTGTTACGTGCTTTCAAACGAACAAAGTGAAAAGTTCACACAAGGATCAATTCAAATCGTAATGCATTATGCCATCTCACTTTCGTAAAAGGAAGTTAATGCATTTGCTTCGTATGTACCATAGGAAGTATTTTTACTGTTTACCAATGACTGCGAGTTCCCCTCAACACTGCTGGACTCCATACTAAACACTGCATTAACAGTCCTCCTATAGTTAACAAGGAGGACTTAACACTACATCTGAAAGGCTGAAATCCTGAGAGAAACTGAACATGAAGACTAGAAAGATTAACAGGTTTCCTTTAAAATTTCACTTCAATTTTTATATCCTGTTTGGCTGATGTTATGCATTTGGCATATATATTTTAGAGGATTCAAAAGAAAAAAAACATTTCCTGCTCTTTCGAACTTAGTTTTCAAAAACGCTTTCCTGAGCATTTTAAACAGAATAGAAAAAATGAAATGCTTCCTTATAAATACATTATAATAATACACACGTTGCCTCTCACTCTGGGCAAAATATCTGATAAAGTACTTACCACTAACATTAACAAATGTGTTTGTCAGCACTGGATGCTATGTAGTCAGTGGTGCAGGCTGGAGAACACCCCCGTACTGCCCCTCCTACAGCTTTCAAGGCATGTCTTTGCGGCCAGAGGCACACTCAATAGCATTTTGTCATAATTACAAAAAAAAATTTCTAGTAAAACACAGCTGTCAAGCACTACTGTAGATCCAACCCTCTCTTTAGAACAGCTTACAGAACTGTACCTACTACTTTGCAATGACTCTCGCAACAAGTTTCTTCCTCCCTCTCCTCCCACCCAGCTCTTCATGCTACCATCTTCTCTTATTTCTTCACAGAGCCACAGGCAGCAAGGCAGTATGGGCTAAGGTCTCTAAAATTATTGCAAGCACGATCAATTTAAGAATGTTTACAGGAGTTCAGCTCCTGGCAAAAGAGAGCCTGGCCAAGAGGAATCCAAGAAAGTTTACAAGGCTGGGTGAAGACTGGTTTCACCATCATCAGCAATGAGGAATGTTCTTTGAGAAGAGCAGCATTATTACTCCTTTATCTCACATCTGCAAGCCCAAGTCTGGATATGACATGCATAATCAATCAGTGAAGTCACTGGTGAATAGAAATACTATGTCACCAGTGAACAGAAATACTATCTTCTTTCTCCAAAAAAGGCACAGCCAGGTCTTCTGCAACTTCACATATGGAAGGAAAAATCCCCATTGACGAAAAACACATGTTCAGGACAGCAGGCCACTTTGGCACGGGATGGATGACTGTTGCTGTCTCAGTGAATGAATGAATGTATGAGGTTGTAGCACTTTAAATGGGGGCTCCTGGTAACCTGCTAAACCCTCTCCTACAGCAGGTGACAGATCTCTATCAAAGGATTAACATATTATGGCGATTACATTCAATGAGAAGAATACGTACCCTTCTAAGACACAGCATGAGCTGACGTGCACGCACGTGGAAACACAGATGCTAGCAAAGAACATGCACTACACTTCTAGTCTGAAAAGCCGTTATTTATGACTATGCTTGATGGACTTCAACTGCTTGCATGACAGGCAGAGGGGGATACCTAAAAGTTTGGACCTTGCGATGAAGAAGCAAAAAAGCACCACTCCCCTGTCAATAGCAGGAGGATAAAGAAGAAAGGATGGTAACTAGTCTGTTCTTCATGTCCAAAGCGAGTCTAAAGCAGGAAATGGCCCATATGAAACCTTGCACTTATTTCCCCTTATACCTCCCTTGGGGGAAAAAAAAAAGAAAGATCTTGTACAGACATGTGTCCACATCTGGACACACAGATGGACCTCATCTACAACATGAACTAGACAGATAAGTAGAATGTACATATCACATAAAATGCAGTATTCAGAATTGCATACTGCAAAATGCTTTAACATCTCAGTATACGAAGTTGCGGCCCTAGACATAGAACTAAACAAATAGCTGGTTTTATACATTTCTGTTTCTCAAGTAACAGTGCGAAAAGTTGACAGATGACTTCCTGAAAGATCTTAAAAAGCTTTTAACACTCAGACTAAGCAACTGCTATCCAGAGCCACATATACTATTTCCATTCAGGGAAGATCAGCCACACAGATTCCGTACTGTAACAAATTCAATTTGGCCCATATAGAACAAAACCTGTTCACTATTCTTGGCTCACAGAACAAGAAATATCACATCCACTTTCAGTATTCACAAACATATTAACACTAATACTTACAGGCCCGATACCAAAGACTGTCAAACCTCTTTAGCGACAACTTTAACAAAAGGGAAAACAACATCCAAATTTCCAACCACTGACTTGATACTGATTTTTCTGAAAAAGAAATGTGCTTCAGGCAAAAAGCACAGTATTATTCTGAGATTTGTAAGTTGAAAAGTAACAAATAGAGGAACGCACTGATTTTATTTATAAACAAACTCACAAATTAATCTCTGTAAAGAATAAAAATGCACTGAAGAAAAATACAGTAGTAGCACGTAGCGTTGAACTGCAAAAGTAAGATCCCGCCTTCTTTTATTGACTACCTAGACTCCAACAGGTCCAATAACCTTCTCTAGAAAATCCAGTATTTTCCACAAAGGCAAACCTACCAGGTACAGATTACAAAACCTTTTAAGCCTACTATTATTAAATTACTAACTACATTTGGCTTTATACAGACACGACATGTATAGATGATTTGCAGATTTAAGGAAGTTGAACAATTTCTCAAAACAATGCTTGATTAACTTTCCTGCCTTTTCAGCAGATATGAGCTCTTATTTTCAGTGCTTTAGGGCAGAGTGCATTCAAGCAGCAACACACAGATCTCTAATGTGTGATTTGTTATGTAAACTAAACAAGCCTACGTTCTATTAAATCATATGTGCACCAAATACTGAAGTAATGGGGTTTTCTGCTAATATTTATGTTTACACACAATTTTTAATGCACTGTCGTACAGTGAAGAGTCTGCAGTCCAGTTCTTTAAAGCTGAACTCAATAACTGAAAGCAGCTGTGTCTGAACCACAGATTATCCGTAATACTTAAAACCCTTAAAAACTACCCAGACACACAAGTATGAACACAGATTCCCCTCGAAACAATGATAAGATAATACTCTATATCAAAGTTTTTTTTCCACGGATCATAGCTCCTGCATAACCACATGAAAATGTTAATGCATCTAAGTGAAGGGAAAACTTCTGACAGACACTGGGGAAGAAATGTCTTAAATTAGGTCTGCCTCTGAAGGAACAACAGTCTGAGCTATCATAGAGCTAATCTGTCTTTCCTGAGCTTTTCCAACCGCCTTGTTACTTGTGTGAGTAAGAAGAGACTACAGGAAGTCTGCTTTCTGTCAGCAACGGATGGGACGGAGACTAGTAGCCTCAATGCTCAACTCAAGTAAATCATAACTCCCCCCTTCATCCCAATCTGAAAACTACTGTGGAGGACCCAGCACCGTGATTCAGCTCATGTATTATTTTACACTAGCCTTGACTCTGAGGTGCAAAACTATTGAAATTCAGTGGCAACAAACCGTTTAACATGCACCAAGTAGAACCTTGCTTCTTTATGTAAATGCAAATGGTACAACTATGCTTGCTTTCAGATCAGGGGGAATTTTGTATTCAACTGATTCAGACAGTAGAAATAACAATTTGGCACCTACTGCAACTAAATTAGAAGCTGTTGATTGCCCTGAGGATACAAAGCTCCTATGGTGTTTAATCCTATTTGGATCCCAAGATTTACTCAGTTTGTGTCACATGGAAATGCGAACAGGATGAGTGCTGAACCTAAACTTATGGTCAGACCCAACATTCATAGTACAAACATAGGCTGTTGTTATTTGCCCTCTTTTACTCTTATTCTCTGTTCCAAAAGGTGTCCAAGACCCTATCTTAATGCAAGAAGGATCTTCTCTGGTATGTTCCAATTATCTACTATGAAACTCAATTTTTGGAATTGTGGTAATAATACGGCTTAAACTTCTGTCCAAAATTGTGACAGCCACTAAATAGAAGAGAATGTGTACAACTTCCCATTCCCATAGGCAGGGTAAGCTTTTGTCCAAACAGGCTGAACTCTGCCTGGAATGTGAAACAATAAATTCAACACCATTCTCCTATGGTATTTTGATACCCTACAAATCATCATTAAAAACTAGGGCTAATAGTTTTTTATAAGGGTCTGATGAGGCCCAGTATCCATTCTGATATTCTCTCTGACACCATGTAGTAGGTATATTCAGCTTTATCAAAATCAAGAAGTGAGATGAAGACTCAGAGTAAAGTGGTATGTTAATTGATAAGGGGTTAACACATTTTAAAAAGTGTAAATTGTTTTAGTAAGGAATTTGAAAGATTTTATTTTATAAACATTCTTTCCCACTAGGTACAATTTCAAGCTCTGTCTAGCTTTCTTAATTAAACAAATCCTTACCAAGGTAGCAACAAAACAATGGCTACTTTTATTTCATACAAACTAATCTACACACAACACAGACCACCCTTTAAAGATCGGAATTGCTTTTCAGAAAGAGAAAGGACCGATGAAATAGACATTCTCAAAACTTCCTTGCACCTTTTACAGGAAACATCTAATGTCCTGTGATGGCATGCGTAACAGAACAATGAACACTCCCTTTGAATACTCCTTTCTCACTGAATCCCAGAATTGCAACTTCAGAATTGGGAAGTAGTTATTCTGAAAAGCACCTCTCTCTCATCTAACTGTAGCCCATAAGCAAACATCTAGGGTGGAAAGGATTGGTCTGATGTTAATTAGCAAGAAGCAAGGGAGGACAATTTTTCCATGATAACTATCTTCAGGAAAGCAGTAGCTTGTTGATTGGCCATACTTTCATTGCACACTTACACATGTACGCACACACTTGTTCTCTCTCACACATGCACAATGCATGAAAAGCATTGATTTAAGCTTTAGTTGAGACTTCTACACTGAGGCTAAACAGCAGCTCTAGAATAAGGAACAAGATGCATATATTCAAGTATTTTCTAATTACTTCCCCACTGCATTCAGTATACATTTGCTTAGTTTTGAAACATTTTTCTACTACTGTCCAGCTCCCAGCTTCTCTTAAAGTCAGGGGATTTTAACTGGTGAACGTAAGGCTGCTTTTCATCATACACCTGTATGCTTCTTCCAAGCAGAAAAGACAACAGCAAAAGAAAGTCAGGAACACTAGTAACGGCAGGATGGATGCAAAACTAATGAGAAGATACAATAAAATTTGTAATAATTTTCAAACAGTTTTTAGTGAGTTTAAAGTTCTGATAAAGAACAGTAACACAGAACAGCTCAGGATCAGAAGATCAAAACGGCTAACTCACCTTCCAGGAGGAATTCCTCTCTTCGTAAGATCTATTCGTACTTTGTCTCCCACATGTCTATAAACCTCTACAATGGCTAGTATGGCAGCATCTCTCACCTGTGAACACAGAGTTTAAATTGTTAATTTCAGGGTTACAGAAACCAAAACAACATTTGCTGACAACCCACTAATCTTCCAGTTTCTATGACCTGCATGCCAACTCATTTCACAAAACAATTGAAACAGCAAGGATGGAAGGGAAAGGAAATATAACTGTTATTTCAAGATGGTATTTGTTCCATGTTAGAGCACCTCCAGATGGTAAATGAAAAATCCTAGAAATAACAGCTCTAGAGGGAATTTCTGGGATTGACATAAGAATAATATTTGTGGAAAAAATGTGCTTTATTTAGGACTCTAATCGCAGTAAGCAATACTTCCAAAAGTTAGTCCCTGCACTCAGTCTTGACACTTCATCTTTGCTTTCATCTGTTTCTACATGCAGCGAAGCCCTTCTGGAAGACTAAGGACCTTACTGCCCACAAGAGTGGGCCAAGGTGATCAGCATTTTCTTTACTTTCTTCAACAGGAATTATGTGGCATCAGATAAACACAAGAAAGGGAGTAAGACAAGATAGGGGATGGGGAAAGAACAGTTAAAGCAAGGAGACAGAGTGCCTCTTTAAAAAATTTAAACCATAGTCGTCACAATAAAAACTGCCAAAAATGCATGTTAGTAAACGCCATTGTTCTCTATAAAGAATTACTGGAATGACTTTAGTATTGTTCTTTGTAACAGTTGGAACTAAACCCACAATTGCTCTATCAAGATATGAACTACATCTTTACTAATGATCAACAAACAAGACAAATTCTTAACAGATTTTCTCTAGAATAGAACAATGCTACCCTATACAGAGGAGACAAGGACTTTGCTGCACCCAGAAAATAAGCATAAAGACCTATCCTGTTTATTTGCCCATCTCCTACCAACACTACCTTCTTCCTTACTGAGTTCTTAGTCTTTTCTCTCAGACACAACTTCAGACAAATCAAGAGAGATCTTATCCATTTTGATTTCAAGGTTTTCTGAAGTTCACGCCACCATTATGAACTACATCTTGACTTTCACTGCAGTTGGTTTTGCTTAATTAATTGATTTTAAATACAGTCCTTGCATGTGCTCAAATGCCATTTGGGTTCCATTTAGGAAATTATTACCTGTCCTGCACATGATAATGCTATCTTTAGCAAATTTGGCAGACTATTACAAGCCTTATGTAGGGGCTCCTTCTGGAGGCAATTCTTCCTGTCAATATATTTTTTTTTATTTTCTTTCAACATGCTCTATAAGAAACATTATTTGCAGTAATGACTAGTTTCAACCTCTGAAGACAAAACTAAAGGGGCCAGTATATCACAATGCTGCTGCCTTTGCAGCTCTACTTTCATCTTCCAATGAATGGACTGATTCAGAGAAAACGGATTTATTGTTTCTCATAGTAGAAAATAACAATCTGTTGTATACAGGCAAGCCTATTAGCTTTTTTTAAATGCCTACATTTATTTTGCTTTCATTCCTCTGTTGAAGGATAGTTGTTGAAGCACCAGTAAGTAACGAAATCCTTACCTGACTATTTGAGTCACCAAACACTGTACACAGATGTGGTACCAACTTGCTGAGGATTAATGGTTGTGCACCATAACTAAAAAAAAAAAAAAGTTGGTTTTTTTTTTACAAAAAAACAGAAAATACTTTATGCAGAAGTGAACTTCTAGCTTAGCATCAATAAAATACAAACTTACATCAATCAAGCTTCGTCTCTCTCTTACTAGTCCTTTGTCTACTTTTAAATAAGACAAAAATACTATACCTTTAGACTTTCTTTCAGAAAGCTCACAAGTTGTTTGATTTTTTCCCATTTATTAATTGAATCAGACTTCCTAAAGTATTAGTTTCAGAGAAAAATGACATTCAGAAGAAGGATAGAACCGTTACGTCTCCATAGAAACAAAAAGCTTACATGTTCAAGGTTGCAATAAGACACAAACACACTCCTTCTCGGGATCGGTAATTCTTGTGTTTAAAACCAACAGCAAGGCGTTCCCAAATGTACTATAAAAACAGAAATAATTGTCTTTGATTACCAGGAGCACAATACAATGTACTTCTATCCATATTTCATAATTACATTCATAACAGTTGCAAAAAAAATAACAGAAGGCAGGTCCACTGGAAAAGTAAAGGCACTTCTCAGATAAAATTAAGTTATAAAACACACTGTATGGAACACAACACAGATTATTCCTATGCCAAAAACAATTTCTAAAAAACATCCTTCAGAAATCTAGCTATTTTTATTGTTTGAGAAACAGCTCTTAAAAACATGCAGAATTGTTACAGTTAACACACACAAAACAAACATTAACATTACAAACTACTAACTCAAGCAGAAGTTGCTACATTCTTTTTGCTTCATATTCTGTTTCCCTGCCAAAATTTCCTCTCATCCATTTTAGCTCGTCCTTATCCATACTCCTGCCGTCCACCTCTCCCCTACTTTTGCTTTAAATTTATTTCTTCATTTTTCAATTATTTCTCACCCATTCATTCTAATTCCTGTGCTTCCATTTTTGTTCTGCTTTCGTTTCTCCTTTTGTGCTGGTGCCACTTCCTGTAGTATGATTCTCTGGCTCACTAAACCCTCATTTACCTTCTTGCGCACTCGTTTTTCATTGCCCGCCTTTAGCCTTTCCCTCCTCAGCTCATCTTTTTACCTGTCCATCTCCTTGCCGTTCTCTAGCTGTACGTTACGGTGTAAAAAGTGTAAACGTGAAGCTTACGAGACTTGGGATTCTCAGTGGTATTTCGGAGCAGATGCACGGACTCAAACTGCAACTCCCCCAGCTGCAGCGCTGCCATTACAGCCTCCGCCAGGCAGCAAGCATCCGCGGGGAGCGTTGCCTAGCGATGGCTGCACACGGGCAACTGCACATTTTGCAGCCTGGGCACCACCCTCGTTCCTACCCCCCCGACCTGGTGCAATTGAAACGTATAAGGACGCCATACAAATCTGCTAAAACGTATCAGATACAAATTATTGCAGTCGCGTTCGGCTTTCACCAAAAAACCCTCACAAACAGCTATCGATCAACAAAACCAGACAGCGCAAGAGCAGGGAATACCGCGTCCTCTTCATTAATGAGGTAGCACGCTTCATAGCGGACGTAAAATTTTCCAATTAGAGCCCTGCTTCATCATTTTGTCCCATCTGTGGTTTCCTGTTTGTTTGTTTTATACTTCATTACATTTAGAGAAAACAAACCTTAGACAAGCAGGATACGGCTTGCCAAAAACTGCACAGCTTAACTACAAAGAACAGGATTTTATGGAAGAAAACATCCTTCCAATTAACCCACTGTCCCGGACAAACATGGCAAAAAGGAAATCTCCTTGCTCGGTGTACAAAAATACAGGTAGAAAGGTAACTTTAGAGTACTGAAACAAACAAAATGGACTGAAGAGAAATTTAGTCTTTCACTAAGACTAAATTAAGAACTGAATTCTTCTAAACAGAGAAATTCAAATGGCTGCTTAGAAATTTCAGCTCTCACGACCTGCTAGCAACAGTTGGTGCCAACATCCCTTTGTGCCATTCATGCATTTATACCACCTATATTCTTATTTTTATGCTTTCCTGCCCATAACCAACTACATGTAGTTCCCTCTCATAAAAAACAAGGCACAAAAAAAAAACCCCACACACATTTAAAACAAGAAAATGGAATTGACAACAGGATAAATTAAATATTATTCAACATCACACTAGAACAGACAAGATGAGTTCATGAGGAAGAAACTTACAGGTCTTATCTCTAAAAAAGGATTCCACCCAGCTCTTCCAAAGGGATGTTTCTCTGCAGCAAAGGGAGCCTAAAACTCTGTATTTCAGTGTTGGAGGCACAGGAAAGACTTCTCTGTTCTGGTCCCTGCTGTGAGGACGATTGATGCTTTTCATCCAAATTCTTGATGATACATAAGCTGTCCTGGGAGCAGACACCTGAAGCCAGGTTTCTCCCACCCTAGGGGAGTTACCAGAAGAGCCGTACCTTCTCTTATTTACACACGCTGTTCCTTGGACCTCATGAACCTTGTATTCTTTCCTACACTGCAGGTAACCTTCAAAGGGTATGGAAGCTCCCTCCCACCACCTCAGTGTACAACCTAACAATTCTTCAGAAACTGAAAGATGGACCCGTAATCTAAAACTCTTTCATGATGAGGGCCTAGCATGAAGCAACTATCACCACATTCTTTATCAGCAATTGTTCAAATGAACGTGTCGCCGAGGTGCTCTGCTGTGCATATACCTAAATGGTATTACTGTAGAAGTAGGTGCACTTTCAGGTCTGCATGCCAGGTACTTGGGAGCATCTTGGGTACAGGAACACGCCACTCATGAACTACTTGCGCTTAGGCATGAAAAAATGCTGCAATGTCTCTCGTCAATGAATACAATCAAAACTAGATCTCGTGAAAAGGTAAAGGCATGTCTTTGTGGATGACACTACTAGAATTTATGCCTAAATCCCACACAGATCCGTGACCAAATCACACGAGAAAATACCTCATGCTTGCAGGGAGAGAAATGTTTCTATAGTTGCCTAACATGCTACCTGTTTTCCTGTCAGGCGAACAAAGCAATCGAGAATAACTTTCTCACTGCAGACGAAGCCTGCAAATCTTATTCCCTGCGCACAAACATTCAAACCTGTATCTATGAATAAACAAAGCCAGGAATTAGCACGCGAAAGAACCTCATTTTCATTCACAAAAAATAAGACGTTTCCCTATTAACTTGTGCACTTAGAACTCAGAAACAGATTTTCTTCAGAAATTAAAAACTCGAGTATCAGTTCCTAGTGACAACCAGGGTCTCCAGAATTCCAAACATCATCATTGCTCAAACAATGTAATCCTGTTAAACAATCCTACATTTTTCAGACTCACACAGTAGAAATACAAGATTTAGCACTTAGAAGCCACATAGTGCTAAGTACTGTAAAAAGGTTTGCTTAACTCAAACTTCAACGTAAGATGACGAGGCAGAGGGAAACTTATTCCCATCCCAGTTTCTCAAAGGTTCACACAGCACATTTGTCATACATCTAGAAAGACAGATTTTCTAAGTTAGAATGCACCATCCCAACTGTGGGACTACTCCTATGTGTTCAAGTACAAAGCTAATTTTAAAATAAAGTCAGAGCTGAACAGATTTATTTATCCTCACTATGCAAACTCAAACCCAGGAGGTTGCTTCAAACATGCTTTAATTAACAAAGTCCTGCCACATGACATGAAAACGTCTACTCAGAATTTAGCTATGATACGCAAAAACTGCAGAATGGCACTGTGCCAGATTTTTATCTTTAGCTGAACAATGCATCAGTGTCAATCCATTAAGAATATCTTTAACATTTACACCATTAACAGTCGCCATAACATTGTGACATATTCAAAGTCAAGCTCATGCATAAGGCATAAGCTCACTGGAGGCCTACATCTGAATCTACATTAAGTAATCATACCATGGGTGGTGCTGCTTCGTCCATCAATTTCAATATAAGATTCTGTGCTTGCTCTCGAACTTGGTCTTTGGCATCTCCCATACGATCTATCAAAGGCAGGAGAACTAGAGGAGAGGAAAAAAAAAGAAAAAAAAGATTAAACACCCAGTGAAGATTTTCTAATACTTAGGGATATTTCCTAAAACAGATTTAAGATACATCTCATTCAAAAATAAAATCTGATTTTAAGTTGATCAAAGTATTTTAAATTCTCAAAGACTAACAACAAATGCATTGGATTGAAATTGAAGAAAATACCATCTTCCAACAGGCTAAAAAGAAAGCTTCCTGTCTTAAAAGCTGTATGAATTACTTCAATTTAATCTGCAAAAAGTATGCTAGTGGCTTCCGAATGCCTGGCTTTTCTGAAAAATAATGCTAGGATTTGGGGCGTGAGAAAGAATTGGGATAGGAAAAAGGACTATTTTCAAATCAGTGGGATTTTGGTGTTTAATTACAAAAAAATTAGAAGTTTTAAATCCTCCTACTCACACAGTGTACCTTGTGGAAACTCGGCCTTACTTCAGTAACAATATCAGTAAAAGTTACTATTTTAAAACAAGCGTCCTCAAATAATATTTAACTAAAATTGCATGACAGCTGATGATTTCACATCCTAAAAATCAGAACTCACTCAGAATGAAGGGACTCGCCAATTCTTTTCATTTGCTTATCCGAGAGAAGTTTCTAATTACATCTGATAAACAAATTAATGTTACGATATTTAGGAAAGTTATCTGAATGAACGCTTAGATCAGCACTGCGCTAGACATCCTGCTATACCGGTTCCCAGTACTCCACCTGGGGCCTACACACACGCTTTGTGAGATTCTTCCCCCCAGTGCTTTCGGTACCAGTTCCTCAAAACAAGGGGTGACGACACCCAGTGCGCCATCTTCCCTCAGGAAGTACAACTGACAGGGAATCGGCAGAGATGTCATCCCCCGCAGGACACTGCTTTTAAAGTTAGTATAAGCACGTGAAACACCACCTAGAAAAAGCAGTGTCACGTGCTAGCAGTAACATTTACCTGCCAACAGCTCAACCTTCTGCGTTAGCTTTTGTTTCTGATCTGATCCACGGTTTTCTAAGAGCTGCAAGCATCAGTCACGCAATCTAGGTGGAACTGACTCAACACAGGCCACAATACCCACCCAGCCCAGCCTTCTGCTCCTGCACTCTAGTTAAACTGGGGCTAAGCTTGCAATTACCATGCCATTTATTCCAAACTTCTAAAACTAACATAATGTTTACCTGAGTCTTTGGGAGACTCGCTCATATTCCAACAAAAAAAGATACAGTAACAGCTAAAATCACCTTTTGCCGCATTTGGTGTTACATCTCTGAACACCTGAAAGTATTATACAGTTGCTGCCTGATCTCTCTCAGCTGCTCACTGCTGTAAAATTAATTTTCCTATTCTACTCACAGAAAAAATAACTGTATCGCCCTATTTTTTGAAAGGGAGATCTGAAAGAATTTTAACAGTACTTAATGATTTTATAGTAATAACCAAACAATAGCATTGCCAGCAAAAGAAAGGGAACAGAATCAGTAACTCAGGAGGTCTTCTCAGTCCTCTGTTCCTACATTAAAAACAGTAGCCATTTCTGTATCATGATCATTACTGGACAAATACATTGCTGGTCTGAATTTCCCCTCCTGCTGTATCTGAACACTTTCTGATTGTCCTAATCTGAGTATTTAATTCTACTGGCTCTGGATATTCCACTGACATCTTTAGCTACCATTATCAAGCTTTTGCATTTTTCATCTATCTTCTCTTCCCTTTCTCCTCTGAATAAATTATTACAGCTACCTTCATTTTACTGTTTGAAGAGAAGGGTTTGGGTTGTTTTGTTTTGTTTTGTTGGGGTGGGGTGGGGTTTTTTGTTTTGTTTTGGGTTGGGGTTTTTTTGGTTGTCTGGTGGGTTTTTTTCCCCGTTTTGTGAACACAGAAGAAACATCCAGAACTTGAGAAGTGAATTTTGGGAGTACACCACTGACCTCTCCCCTAAATTTCCAATCGCCCATATACTTACTGATTCCATTCTTCTTCCCGACAGTATTTTTCATTACTCTTTTCAGCACTTCTAAACTGTCCTTTTACCTGTGCCATACGTTACTGGTGAGGCCTGCTACGTTAACCTGACTGTTGGGCAGCTGAAGGCAGCTCTTGCTTTACAGAGAGGGAAACAAACACAGCCACTGAGAAGCTGTTCCAGCGGAGGGAAACACAGTGCGTGCCAGCCCTGGAGGAACATGGCTCCTTTGTGACTAATTAGCACGCTGAGTCAGTTGACGGAGCTGCAGATACCAGGGCTCTGTTCAAATCACTAAGGCAAGCACAGAGAACAGCTACTAGAAGCCGCTGAACAGAGGTGAGGTCATTGAGTTAAACTAAGCTATGACACAGCCTGCAGATTTCAGTGCGCGCAGCTAGTGAACGTGCCAGCCTTTGTCACTCGCGGAGCTCTGTCAGAGGGACAACCTGCTGTGGGAGCTGTTAAAGGGCCCAAATCTCTGCGGGCTTGACTTCCCCCACCACCACCACCTAAATCTCAAGTTTCTGTAAGACCCCATACAAGGCATGATATATTCTGTTTGCATAGACAAATGAAATTAGGCTGCTGAATGCTAGCAACCACCAGCTGGTTTTCAGTTTGGTAGCTCATCTTTTCTGTCAGAATAAGCTCCAATAAGAAATTCTTTGAAGTCGGTTGCCTATTGATGAAGTTTCAGAATGCTCAACCAGAAGGTGATCTCCACCAAACATATTTCAATTTGAATTCCTAATGCCTTCATCACTTTTTCTCCAAATGTTAGACACATCTAGGGAGAGCTATAGTGAAAAATAGCCGAATTGCGTTAGCTGTCCTTTCTATGAATGCGTGGGAAACACATCTACCTACCTAAAAAATTCTGACAATGTTTGAGACGCACAGGTCCATCCCAGCATCCTGTTTTGCTGATCACCCTTCTCTTTTCCCTGCTCCAAGCCTCCTGGCCTCTCCTTGCTCCTCTCTAGTCCTGCCCAGCCGAAATCACAGAGCACTAGAAACTTTGAGTTCTCATAACCCAAAGCAGCAATTACAGCTGAACGTCAGAGATGACAGTACAACACAGGCTTTTGCTCCACATCAGGATAAGCCAGTGCTGTCACCAGAAAGCAGCAGCTTTGCCTACTCGCTACCTCAACCACTGTTTCCCCCTCACAGCCCATACCACCCCTTGTACCAGTATTCGTCCGTTTACAAGGTGAACTGAGGACATACTCAGACATTCAAGATGATACACACACGTCAATCAAAAGCACAAGCTAAGAGGTATGTTGGAACTGAGCCAACAGGAACAGCCTGTGGAGGTTTTGGCACCTTAGGAAGCATCTGCTGGATGTTTGTGCACTAAGATTTTATAAAAGGATTTTTACCTTGGCCAGCTTTAGGCAGGTTTCTATCCCTACCAGGAACAGCTGAAGTCATACTTGCAATAAGAGGGCACCCTTTACCAAAAATCAAGTCTCTGCTTTAGAAGATTAGAGCACTACTATATCTCAAAGAATGGATGACCAGAAAATACATCACTAAGAACAATGTTTTTTTTCTCCCCTAACTTCATTCCAAATATCATTTTGGCTGATACTTTTCCTTTAAGTTTTATATGCTTTCTCATCAGCATTATCAAATTAGCATCCTTCTTTATGCTGCAGTGCAAGTATATGCATTTGGTCATTTCTGGCATCAGTCTGTAAACTAAACAATCTCAAATAGATGTTGGAGTTAAACGAAAGGTGAGGAAGGAGAAGTAGGACCATGCACGAAGGCAGTATTCAAAGTTGTAGTCTCCTAACAAGTTACCCAATGAAGTATATAATTTATCATACTCAGTATGGATTCACGCACTCCTACTGTTTTATATTAACCTTATCCATCTTACTACTTCTGTTGCCTAGTGTCTAATTATTTCAAAGGGATTCTGGAAAACCTAATAACATATGACTTTCTTCCTTTTATTTATTTCTGCTGATATGCAGAGAAACATTACACTAAATTTAGGAGATGGTGATTCCCTCTGCAGTTGCTGCTTATTTTTTGCAAAGCCAAGAAGCGCTATATCCTGTTCAATTTGCCTTTTCGCCACATTTTAGCATATTGTCAAAGTTTCCTATCACTACCAGCCACTCCTGAGTTTTTCCTGTTAAGATTTCTACATTGCTATACCACGATTTTACAAGATTTGATTACTGAAGAAAACTTAGAAGCGTTAGTAAAAACACTCTATAGCACACATTAATTCTATCAGATCTACCTCAAACTGACCTGCTATTTACATCTGAGGAGCTATTTATGCCTTTTTCCTTCCTAATTGCATAATAGTTACCCTTCTATTATATCCCTAACAGAGCTTATTATCCCATCAGTTTCTTTTCCATTGTCTGTCTTCCTTCTCTTGGCTCAGTAAACCTAAATAAATTTTCATTTATACAAATTCACATAATGATTTTATCACCATTAGTTGGACAGTAGATGCAAGAGTTAAAGCTAAAACCAGCCTGGAGAGTCAGAGTACAGCCTTGAGAGTTTAAATATTTAATTTAAATTAAATTCATTTAATTAATAAACAAGTAAATCACAGAAGTCAGTGCCTAGAACGGCATCCAATATATTTTTAAAAATCCTGAGCAGCTTAACTGTATGACCCCCTGAAGCAAAGAATGCCATAGGTAGCACAAACAATTTCCTTTTGTTAAACTTTAACAAGAGTTCCTTCTGTTATGACACAAATATGGAGCTTTTCAGTTTGTATTATCGCTCACAGCTTCCTCTCTATTCCTTCTCTCTCGACCACTTATAAGTGGCTCTTTATAAGTGCCCATTTTACGTATACCTGCTCATGCCTACCCATTTCTGTGAACCAACTTTAGATAGTACGTCGGCAAAGACTTACAAAAAAGCATTAAGCAAGTAAGAATCTTTACCAACAAAACATCAGTGTTGGCAAAAATTCTGTTACTAAAAAGTCTAACTTCTTGTCTTAGACATTAAAAGAAAAGGCTTTGAGGACA